ATAAAAAGATTTCCAACATTCTTTACATTCATATGGTTTCTCACCTGTGTGAATTATCTCACGTCCGCTGAGGAGTGACTCCTGGTGAAAAGTTTTTCCACATTCATGACATCCATACCCCTTTTCTCCTGTGTGAATTCTCTGATGCATAGTAAGGTCTGACTTCTGATAGAAAATTCTCTCATGTTCATCACACACATAGACCTTCTCTCCTATATGTATTTCCTTATGTGAAGTAAGATGTGATTTATTAATGAAGGGTTTTTCACATTTGCAGTTACATTGTCTTCCTCCTGTGTGTATTTTTTCATGTTTAGTAAGTTTAGACTTTATATGGAGCATTTCCCACATACGCCACATTGAAAAGTTTTCTTAAATATCTGACTTATATCTTGGGCAATCAAAGGTAACTCATCAAATAATTTTCCATATTGATTATATTTACAGGATTTCTCTCCTATATGAATCTTCTTATGTGTAAATATTATTGGCTCTGTGTTGAAGGCTTTCTCTTGTCCACTCTCTTCAAAAGGTTGCTGCCCAGTTTGATTCTTGTTATGCTGACTAAGATGTTCATGATGTCTGTACAATTTCCAGTGATATTATGGTCATCAGCTTTCTCTGTAACATGCATCTCATCAGGCTCTCTAAAAATCAATGTGTTCTGGCACCCATTAAACTCCTCAGACCTCATTCCTGAATAGTTTCCAGTAGAAATATGGTTTAAGCTCAGATTAAATGTTTCCCCCAACTGAACTCTCTCCTCAGTTGATGTGCTGCTGTTGGTGAACACAACATGCCACAAATGTTTATCATGACTTTCATGACTCCTCTCAATTAGTTCATCAACCACCTGGACATCTGAAATAAATGTATATATACATCAATGAACTACACATAAGTATATCTTATTGAATGCCCACTAAAGTTAAAGGTGTTTCTTCCAATCCTAGTTCATACCAGCTGTCCTCAGGTCTGGGACCTGGAAACAAATGGTAGAAACAGCTGAACACTGCCAACATCTGCTGGGCTTTAGTCCTCCTGGCCTCTACAGAGGATGAACTGACTGACCTTGGAGGTTCTGGTTTTTTTCTTCTAATGTCCATGGCTCTGCTTCTTGCTCCAACTTGAAGATCACCTCAGGTTTGGTAAGGCAGTGTCCTGTTAATTATAGACAGCACAGGGAGGACTGTGCCAAACTGCTAAGTCAGGGCCTTGAAAGAACGAGAAGAGCTCAATGTCGGAAGCTGTGACATGAAGGGGTCAATTCAAGCCTTTTGTTAGAGAGGGATGACATTCACATTTGTCATAAGTGACATCTTACTTAAATAGCATTAAACCTTTTAAATGGTTCCTATACATACCACCAAAGAGGAAAGTCTTGCTTCTGGGGAATATCACTCACCCAGTAATGCTGGGTTGCTGTAGGTGTCCAGTAACACATCCCTGTACAAAGTCCTCTGAGCATCATCCAGGTCCTGTCACTCCTCCCAGATGAAGTCCACAGCCACATCCTCAAGTGACATCAACCCCTGTAATGGCACATTTCCCTGAAGTCAGTAGCCCTGGGTCACAAAAACAGAAATCTGGGAGTCCACACTTCTGTGTGTGCATGTGTGCAGGTGCATGTGTATAACATGTATTTTACATAAGATGCAGCTTCGTTGTAATGCATATGGGGAGAAAGAAAAATAACAGCAAAAATATCCTGCCACTGTAATAATTTATTAGGTACTAAAAATACTATCATGCGGGGAAAGAAGACACAACAATCACAACAATTCCTTGATCTTGTTAAGACAAGTAAAAGATATGGTGTTGATGGGGAGGATGGGGGAGAGGGAGAAAGGAAAAGGAGGAATTGGTAAAGGGAAATGAAAATCAACTATATTGTATATTAATAAATTAAAATAGTAAAAAATATATATAATAATAAAATAAACACATTACAAAATAAAATACTATTACAATGCTTACATTATAGATCTAACACAATTGTTGTTGCTCACAATAAAAGTATGAATAAAATTCTGCTCTTCCAAGGAGCTTATACTCAGGAATGAAGACATAAGTATAAATACATACCTGTTAGATGAACTAATTTAGACACAAATTCAATGAAGCCTGAGGTAAGAGAGAAGAACATATATTTCTCTTTTGTATTCAGTTTGCACTTCACTGAGATGCCAAAGATATTCAGCTCTTCCATGTGAACCACGTATTCTCATAAATACATGGAGACATCAAAAGTCCAGTCTCAAGAACACAAAGAACACACCCAACATTAATAGACCCATACACAGCACTCTGTCTAGGTGAATGATCCTGTGCCATGATGGGAGATAAACACAATATTGAAAGAATTAATTAGGGAGTGATTCTGCATTTAATTTTTTTGACCTAATTCTAACAACAAAACATTTTATGCACTTGTTGTTGTATTGTTTTTACTTATAAATTAAAAGCACATACAAAGGCATCACAAAATTTCCTTTTTAACATACCAAGAATAACACAAAAGAATTGCTTGTGTGAACTCCGGGGCGAAGACTGCCACTTGTCAAACGACAAGGCATGAATAATGAGATCCTGTATGAACAGGTAAGTTACATGACCAGATTTGCATTTTAATACTCATCCATTAGAAGAAGATGGGAAAGGGCTTAAGAGGGAGTCAAAGAGGAAAAAACTAGGGTGACAGATGACCACATGCATCGGGACATGTAGCAGTAAGCATACAGAAGATGGAGGTGATTCTATAATAGAAAATAAAATTAAACAAACAAAAAGAAGAACAAAATGGGTACTAATGTCCTGTGCAGATGTAAAATGAAGAGTTTTCCTCCCAGGCTATCTTCATGATCACAGCTAGTTAGGTAGTGGCACTGTAAAGTGAAATTTAAAAAATAGGAGAAAAATATAATGAGCAGAAGGGAAACATACTTGGACACATTATATTGGAAAATCTGTGGGGATGTCCAAATGGCATTTAAAAATGGAAGAAGAGAAATAGACTGTGAATACCCAGAAAACATTTTCTGAGTTTATTCCACAAATAAAGAAAAGTATTAAGAAGTCTACCATATCATTTATCATATTCATAGTTGTATGAAACAAATAATTCTTTGATTATCTACATAGACATTATGGAGGCACTTTTAGAAATACATTTTAGGTTTCTACTTTTGCATGTAAAAAGCTTGGAAATGACTCCATCCTAAAAACAACCAAAAAGAGGATGAGACTAAAAAACCAACAACTCTTCTTGAATACATGAGAAGAGAAAACATGAGACAAACCACCACCCCAAGATGAGAGAGGCAGACAGGAAAATACATGAAGTCAAGGCTTACAGGAGCAGAGAGATACTAGCAGAAACCACCATGGATCCAGGGCTAGAGCAGGACAGGCTAAATTGTGACTGAGAAGGAGGCTCAGCATAGACAATTCTGAGAGTTAAAAGCTCCAGGGGCACCAGGCCATAAATGCACCAGCAGAATATTGTGGAATTTACCTCCAAGTGCTCAACCAGTTTCATACAGTAAATATTATTATCTTTAAGGACTCTTCCTCCTAGTAAATATTTCTAGTTATTTACCAGGAGCTCCAGATGACAAAGACATTAGATGTGCTTACCCTCCCCCAACCCACCTCAACACCTGCCCTACGTGGACACCAGTAAAAGAAGTGGAGAGATCCTAGGCTTACAGTAAGCAGTAAAGAAAACTCCCCTCCTGCTTCCACTTGTGAGAGGGGAAAAGGCAAAACATTTAGAAATATGTGAGGGTACTCAGTCTTCTTAACAAGGCCTGCCCTCAGGAGAAGCTACTTAATTGGAGGCTAGCCTGCTGTATTATTATTAGAGGATAAATGACCTGGAAGAAGGGAAATACCCAGCTCCAACACAGTCTATGCTAGACTTCCACACAAATGAAGGGAAATATCCAACTCTGGACCACTCCAGCCATCCTGTCCCACCTAAGAGGGATTAAAACAATTAAGAAACACTTGTGAACTTCAGTCTAAGACACAGGCTCATTAAGAGAAAGAGACTTAATCACAGGACTACAGACACTTTTGCTATGGTCTAAATGGATCCCTCCAGAATCAACATGTAATCCCCAATACACAAGAATTAACAAGTGAACCCTTTGGGAGGTGATTAAGTCATGAGGACAAAGCCCTCAAGGGAGGGATTAGTGCCCATATAAAAAAAGCCAAAGCAAACTTCCTTGCCTCTTTAACCATGTGAGGACACAAGTCAGGTGCCACCTATGAGGAATGGGCCCTCGCCAGACACCAAATTTCCTGGAGCCTTGTGATAATAATTTTGAAAAGGCAAACATGATTGAATAACTACCTGAAAAGCTTTAAAAGTGGTCTTTCTGTTACATGTGTGGCACTTCTGGTCTTGTGTCCTACACTTCATGTCTGATGCCACCAGAAATATGTTATGAATTCTGTATTTAACACACGTATGGTGGTATGAGCCCTTAGGACTGCACCACAGAGGAAATGTAAACTTTATGTGGTGGCAAATTTGTGTGTCTTATTTCATTTGGTATTGAGGACAACATTGACGTTTTTGTCTAAATAACTGATATTTGCTTTAACATGGTTGGCTAAGTAATCTGATATATATTGTAAACAGTGTGATAAAACAGAATTGTGTATATATAGTTATCTTTGGATACCTGAAATTCCCAAGCTCAGTGGCAATACTCAGTGCAAGGCCATGCAAACATGTAAGAGAACAGTGGGTAGTAGACAGGATTTGTGAAATGGGAGCTAAAGGGCCTACTTCACACAAAGCCAATCATGTTGATCTAACACTGGTTCAGTGCAGGTGAAGTGCTGTAGTGAGAGGCATATGTGGCCATGAAATGAAGGTGAGACAGGAGACTAGATCTGAAGAAAGGGTAAGTACCCAGACTTTGTTCTTTTTAAATTAAAATATGCTTCTGTTTTCTCATGTGCAAATAAAAGAATACCAAAGACTTGAACATTTTCTCCAAATCTGAGGAGTATTAGTTTTAAATGCTGTCTTTTTAATTAATGAATCTTAGCAGGTTCCCCATTTGAATGAAGGCCCCCCCC